ATATGTAAAAAAATAAAAAAGAAGAAAAAAAATGCGCATCCGGGGAATCGAACCCCGGTCAGTACCGTGGGAGGGTACTATGATACCACTACACCAGATGCGCGATGTTATTTTAATGGTTTTAATATATGTTTTTGACTCTCGTAGAGGACGACGTTTTAGGAAATACGAAGCGATTAAAACTAAAGTTTTTAGATTTTGGCAATTTAAGCGATTTTTTTTGTGCATGAGTTAAGGTATCAATGACTGTGATGGTGTGTCGAATTACAGACACATGTACAAACATATATAAATATGTACGTGCATTTTACATGAATTACAAATAATAAATAGTTATGACGCGTATATTATACCATATAGTTAACAGAAGTCCGATGACCACATATGAAAACACACTCGTAGATGTGGAATGAGGCATCGACATGCTTGTGAACGTTGAAATTCAAATTTTGACATTTTTTGAAGGTAAATTCTATAAAAATTAAATAAATGATTTTAGATTAAGACTGGCAAACTAAAAAAAAAAAAAAAAGTGATTTAAGTTATTAAGACACTATTTTTTGAAGTGATATTGTACGAAAGAGAGCATGTAAAATGGGCCTCCAACCATAGCACACCTACATAACGTTTGGGCCTAATATTGTTTTTCTGTTTTATTATCTTTTTCTTTTTCAATGTAAAGGTCACGTGGGCTTTTTATTCCAAACATTCTTCCTATCAGCTCAACTATTCATTTATGGGATATTCTACGGTCCCATTACGGAACCATTCCGTCGGAGTTTATAACCGTTGGATCAACTATTCACGACGGTTACATGATGATTTAACGTTTACAAATCTCAACGGAATGGTTCTGTAACGGTACTGTAGCATTTCCCTTCATTTATTTAGCTAACACACTGCAAGAAGAGTTGACAGCAAAAAGAATTGGCTACTTTTCACGTAATAATTTGATACAGTGATGCTCCTTTAGCCACGATGGGCACATGTTAATTTGATATAGTAATTTGATATATTTTTCTATGTGAGTGTACAAAATTGTTGATTGTCAAAGCTTGTGCTATCGCTGTAGTACAAATCTGTGTTTGAATTTGTGTTTCCTTTTTGAGGTGAATCTGTGTTTCTTGTTTTCGTTCTCGCCGGTAAATCCAACCGAAATTCGTTATTCCGGCCAGAAACATCCAAGACGAGGATCGTTGGGCTTACCGGAGGCATAAGCTCCGGCAAGAGCACAGTATATTCTAACCTCTTCAAAGCTCACAGTATACATACAGGCGCCAGCTTCTTAACCGGTAATTTGGTTACTTTTATCCGTTTTTATCTCGTGTTAAGAGAAAACTGTGTTGTTGTTTGTGTTTCTTAATAACTTGCTGTAAATAGTAAATACACTTATTGGTGAAATCTCAACTGTAGTCTGTAGAGATGTGTTATCTTTACTTGAAACAGCTTTGAAGGTGCTCTGATAAGTTGTTAGTTAATCTATATTCGAGTTTGGAAAGAAATCTAAATCCCGAGACATGGCTTCGTCGAACTTCAGCAGTTACTTTTGCCGAGCTTAGTTAAGTATTTATGTGTTGATTTGAGTTATCAAGGCAATTAAAGGTGTTTGTTGTTGTGGACTGAGTCTGTGATATATACCCAACAAAATTTGCAAAAAATTGTTTTAGCCGATCACTTTTTGGTAGGTTCGGGTACTTGAGTGCTTGATAATTAACACTCTTTATAACCTTTTTCGTTCATAACGAAGTTCTATTCTCTTGGAGAACTTTTTAGGAGGGAAATCTGAAAAGGTCCAAGGCGGATATTGTGATTGATAACTCGGGTTCGGTGGGAGATCTGAACAAACATTTTGAGGAGGTTTGTTACATGGCGGGAAAAAGTTAACGTGGGCTACTTTAGACTTTCTACAAATGGAGCTATCGTGGCTTTACTTTCTGTTCTTTTTGGTGTCATTGCATGTCAAAAATCGAAAGGCTTACTGACAAGAAGCAAGAAGTAAGGAGACCCTTGTGATGGATTTGTCGAACTTTCAACCGCAGGTACGTTCCTTTCGACTTTTGGAACTGTATTGAAGTTAAAATGTAGCTACATGATTCTGGAAAACAAGCAAGTTAGTTTTGGCACATGAAGCTGAATTCCGATTAAACAACAAACAACCATTTGTTTATTTGGAGATGCAAAAACTTTCAATTCATAGAAATAATTGTCATCTCCATAACCAAAAGAGCCAACAGGGAACTCCAAAATGGGTCCTTAACGGGACGATCAGGTCAGATCTTCATGGCCTGCACGACCTTCTGCCAACTGGGCCGGGCCAATATATTGCCACACCACGCGCTGACTTTGGGCCTGGCATCAAACAGGGCCTTAATCTCAGTCCCCAACAGATCGTACACAATCGGGATGTGGTGCAAGTCCGCCAGGCTGAACTCGTCTCCGCCTAAATACCTGGACCTCGACAAACGAGACTCATAGATATCGAGAACCGGAGCTAGTTTCTCCTGGTGCTGGTCCACAACACCGTGGTTGGTGACCTTGCCTAACTTGGGTTTTATGACGAGCTCGTATATCAGCTTGGAGGCTACAACCTCAAATCTCTGTGACCCGACTTCTGTCCATACGGAGACAATGGCCATCTTGTAGGGGTCGTTCGGTACGAGTGGTTCGCCCATGTCGGTGTAGGCACGTGCAATGTACTGAGTAATCGCTCTTGATTCTGAAGTTTTTCAAGTTAACAACAAAAGAGAAGAAAAATATTACATTATTAGTTAGGGACAATTTCTTTTACACCGAACCTGAAGATATATTAAGTTTTTCACCCCGCCCGCTAACAATCTAACTTTTTCACCTCGAAAAAAAAATAGTAATACTCAATTAGAGTGTTGTTTGTTTTTCAAACACTCGTATAGTACACGATTTGTCGTATTAACCAAACAATAGTACCGAATTATATATAGTGATGATTATAATAAGGGAGACTTACCAAAGAGCTGCAGTTCTCCATCTTCAAGTGCTGGAACTTGACCAAAAGGCTGTATAACCAACCATTAATTCATGGGAATTAACTCATCATATATAGCAAGATAATTAAATTTTGTAAAGAAAATAACCAAATATAATATTCAAAATTGAGGATAAAAATAAAAAAAATAAATAAAATGAGGTGAGAAAAAAAATTGCAATTTACATTGATTGAAATGAAAGGCTCGTTTTTGTGTTGGCCAGTTGATAAATCAACAAGAACAAACTCATATTGAAGACCCTTTTCTTCAAGGCACAAAGCAACTCTTCTTGTTGGTACAAAAAATGGGTGTCCATACAGTTTTATGGCCATATCACTGTATATTGATAATAGCAAAACTATGAAGTTCTTGTGGACTTGATCAAGAACACCAATAACTGTCACATGCTATATATATATATAGGTATTGTAAAATAAAAATAAATTTTATCGATGCTATTTTTGATATTACATTTTTATTCTATTATTTATGAGAATATTATTATGCATCGTGTTGCTATTTTTAATAATATAAATCCGGAATAAAACTAGTTTAACGTAAAATTAATCACAACACTACACAAAATAGAGAGGTTCTCATGTAATTACATGTGATCTTCTTCTAAAAGAAAATTTAAAATAGCGAAAAAAAAAATAGTAAATGATGAAAAAAATTATCTAATATTTAATGGCTTTGTTAGGGTGTGATTGGATATGGATCCAACCCAAAAAAATAATTATTTTTAACTCCATTGCTTTTTAACTCCTACAAAAGAATCACTTTTTTCAATTAAATTTTAACTCAACGACACTATTCTCAATATTATCAATATAATTAAATAGTACAAATAAAACATTCTTATACATTACTTCTACTTCAATTCACTATTCATCACATAATTTTAACTAACTATCATTTTACCTTATATCGTTCCTATTTTTACATTAAATCAACTTTAATTATTTTACTTTAAATATTATTTTAATACAAATTCAAAATTCTACTAACAACTAATCATATCACATCTTTTCAAAATCTCCCCTATATATTAATTAATATATTATTAATTAATATATTAATCCAGAATGCGCTGAGCCTATGTGGCTGCTTCTGGTGCTTCAGAATCCTATGTGGCAAAATTACATGCTTCGTTATTAGGTTTGGGTAAATTTTAATTTAATTCCAAACCAAAAATAATTAGGTTCGGATTACCATAAATATGTTGATTATTTATGGTTATGTTACAAGTATTAATTGCATTTTAATATCATTCCTTATTATAACTATTGAATTGTATATATATTTTAAAAGTTAATAACTTTTGTATTTTTTATCAGTTTTACATATGTAATATATCAAATTAATCTTCTTTTGATGAACTTCGATTTAACATCCATATTTATATATAAAAAAAATAATTTATATTTATCTTTATAACAGTAATTAAATTATTTTAATATTAATTAGAAAAATAAAATTATTTATCAACTAATATATTTATATTTCAAATAGTTATATGATATAAGTTATAAAAACTAATATAATATAACACATGTAAGTCATAAGTAACACAATCATTCTAAAATATGTAGTAATATATTTTTTTGGTAAAAAAGTAAACTAAATTTAATATAGCTTTCTCATTAATTTTAAAATTTAAGAATATTTTTTTAACAAGCACCCGTGTAATACACGGGTGTTGTACTAGTTAATTATGATTAACAAAAAAATTAATCAAATTCATATCCAATCACACCATTAATTGTCAGAGTCTGATTTTAGCCTACATGCCTTGGAAGCAACAAAGTATTATTGGGACTTTTAGAAAAAAATAACAATTTATTTTAGAGAAAGGAAACATATTAATTAAAAGAATACACTTTAATTTGTTTGAAAAAAACATTGGATGACAAATAATGCGGAAATAGAAAATATCATTTTGAATGTGATAACAGTATGAATTAGTTTTATGCAATTCTAACAAATATAACCAATAAAACTGGTAGTTTACTGTAATATTTTCATATACATGGTGGAATTTAAGCTTTGTTGTTTGACTTGAATGGATTTTAATTTATTTTTAATTCAAACGTAACTACGTAATTAGAAGATATATAATTTTTCTCCAATATTTCTTTTAAGGTTATAACAAATTTACTAACTTAAATTATAAATATATTTAAAATTTGAAAGTTTATCATTTATTAACAAAATTGTACATAATATATCAAATTAGTCATGTCTTGATGAGTCTCAATTTGATATTATACATACAAAATAAATAAATAATTTTATTTATCTTTGTAATTAATATTAAATTACATATTAACATTAATTCAAAAAACAAAATTATTTAAACTAACTCAAGTTCAAAGAAGTTATTTGATATAAATTAAAAAAAAAAAATCGAACATGAGATAGTAGATCGTGTAAGTGACGGTGTCATTTTAAATATAAATACTAATATATTTTTTCGAAAAGTAATTAGAAACTAAAACAATTTTGTTGTTATTATTATTTTATTTTAAACATAATTTTCTTAACAAGTACTCGTGTAGTGAGTATTGTACTAGTTTATTGTATAACATTTCAACTTAAAAATATCAATTGAAAAATATGATAAGTATAACAAAATATTATGAAATGACAACAAACCTAACCAAGAAAAATGGGTGGTTAATGTTTTTCCAATTGTAGTTGCAAAGTAGGTGAATACATTTAGTGGTGTGCAATTAAAGTATACATTTATGAAATGACCTAGCTAGCCATCAATAAGTCCATGTTTATTAGATAAAGTGTGAGTGGTCCAAAACTTTTGCTATGGTGTGGCTCAATTTCAAAGCTACTTTCAAAAAAAAAAAAAACTTATTTTTACATTAACAAATTTCATTGTTTATAGTCCCATATATTTCCACTTAATATATTTTAAAGTCAATAAAACTAAAAAAAAAAAAAAATGACAACGTGTTTATGTAGACATCAAAATTTTAATATTTTATTAATTAATGTATTTATTTATTTTGGGACATAAATCCAAGATAAATAAGATATTTAATTAATAAATTAATTATTTCTTGCCCACCAAGTCAAATCTTAGGTTAAGGAAAAAGACTATATCAAATCTTAGGATAAGGAAAGAAAATATATCAAATCTTAGATAAAGAAAAGGATTATATTAAATCATAAATGACCAATCAAATTGATGTCTTCTTTTTCAAAACTCTCTCTCCTATATCTTATCTCTCCTCAATGCCACAAATCACACCTCAAAATATCAAACACACTTAAGAAATTAAAGTCTCAAATTCAAGAGCTCTCAAGAACTCTCTTGAAGATTTGAAGAAGTTCTAGAAGATCCAAGGGCATTCAAGTTGAAGATCGGTGTTCCACCCGCAACCAAGCATTGGAACTGACGAAGTCCGTTCAATGAAGAAGGCCAAGAAGAAGAAAAAGTGGGGGCGACTCTTCTACAAGAAGTAAAGAGAAGCACAGATGAAGCCCAAGTGAGGTTCCATCCCAAAACTAAGAGCTTGTATACAAGAATTTCCTAACAAAAATTTTTACATTTAACTCAACTACTTTTTTTTTAACTCAACTTTAACTCAACTACACTATCATCAATTTATCAATATAATTAAATAATATCAACCATTCATACACACCACATTAACCTTAATTCACTATTCATTCACTCACAATATTTTAACTAACCATCACATAAAATTTTTAATTATTTCAATATACACACTACCAATTAACCATACTATCTTTTTCAAAATTAATTAAACCATACCAAAAATTTCAACAAAACAAAAAATTTTCATGTCCAAAACTGTTCTAATTGTTGGAAGGAGAAGTCCCCATTAGAATTATAAATTAGACCTATTTTCTCTATATAACCGATGTAAGACTACTCACAAGTGAATATTTTAATACGTCCATTCACTTGTAAGTCCTTCGTAAGAAGCCCAAGCCCATATATATACATAGTCGGCTGCCTAAGTCCTACTAGAAACAGGCTAGGAAACGGGTACGTCATCGCACGGTCCCACATAAAACTGACTCTAATACCATGTAAGAAATGAAAGGAAAAAACGGGTGCGGTCCCACGCAGATGAAACACACAAAAGAGAGGGAAAACTCAGATGAAGCCTAAGTGATGTTCCATCCCAAAGCTAATTGATGGAAGAAGTAGTAGTCAATTAGACTTATAAATTAAGTTTATTTTTCTTAAATAAACGATATGAGACCACTCATAAGTGAATATTATAATAAAACAAATTGCATGAGCCAAGACCAACTCATCGCACTTCCCGAACTTCCCGAGTCACGATCATACAAATTTGGCTGACTTCTAAGAGTAAAAAAAGTAAATAAAAACTTCAAAAACAAATAGTACCTTTTATGCCACGAAGTTGAGAGTCACTGTATTATTATTATTATTATTATTATTATTATTATTATTATTATTATTATTATTATTATTATTATTATTATTATTATTATTATTATTATTATTTTGAAATTTCTGCACCACTCTATCGAACTCACCGGACTTTAATCCCGAACCTTCTGCCATGCGGGCCGGGCCAAGATATCCGAGCACCAAGCGCTAACGGCTAACATGCCGACTTATTTCTTCAAACAAAAACTTACATTTTGTCTTCATCAACTTGTTTATAATGGGGACATGATGAAGATCAGCCAATGTATAAACTTCTCCAGCCAAGTACTTTGATTATGATAGGTGCTTTTCGTACACATCAAGAACCGAGACTGATTGGCCATGCAATTGCTCGGATAGGCCCTCATTAGTGGTTAGGCCCAACAATGGCTTCAAGGCAATCTCAAAGTTGAGCTTTTGGCCCGCAACATCAAATCTTCGGGCCTCAAATTCCAACCAATGTTTTAGCCAATCACTATTTGGTAGGTTCGGGTACTTGAGTGCTTGATAATCAACACTCTTTATATATTTTTTTTCTTTTTCGTTCAGAACGAAGTTTTATTCTCATGGAGGACTTTTTAGGAGGGGGATCTGAATAGGTCCAAGGCGGATATTGTGATCGATAACTCTGGTTCGGTGGGAGGAGGTTTTGTGACATGTCGAAAGTTAACGATGGCTGTATTTAGACTTTCTAGAAATGGAGCTATCATGGCTTCTCTTTCTGTAATTTTTTGGTGTCATTATATGTTGGAAACTCGAGAGGCTTACTGACAAGAAGCAAAAAGTAAGGAGACCCTTGTGATGGATTTGTCCAACTTTCGACCGCAGACATGTTTCTTTCGACTTTGGAACTGTATTGAAGTTAAAAACACGAAATTGCATATAAAAGCTCCATCTTTAGGACTTTTGCAATTTAATCACCACATTTTTCTATTTGTGTTTAAATTACCATCTTTTATATAATTTGCAGATCGATCGTAAATTTAAATTCCGTTAGATTGGAGTTGACTTGGCATAGACAGAACGTCTACATGGCTGATTTGGTACAAACATACAAACGGAAAGTTTGACGGAAGTTGAATTAATAATTCGATTGCAAAATATATGTGAAATAGTAAAAAGTGGTGCTTAAATTGTAAAAAATCTTAAAGGTGATGCCTTTATATGCAATATTACCCAAGTTAAAATGTAGCCACATGATTCTGGAAGACAAGCAAGTAAATTTTGGCACATGAATCTGAATTCCAATTAAACAACAACCATTTTTTTTTTTATTTTTTTTTTAAATTTTGAGATGCAAAAAACTTTCAGTCCATAGAAATAAATTATCATCTCCATAACCACAACACAAGAACCAATAGAAAACTCCAGGAGGTAAAAACGGGTCCTTAACGGGCCGATCTGATCAGATTAAATCAGATCTTCATGGCCTGCACAACCTTCTGCCAACTGGGCCGGCCCAATATATCGTCACACCACGCGCTGACTTTGGGCCTGGCATCAAACAGGGCCTTAATCTCTGTCCCCAACAGATAGTACACAATCGGGATGTGGTGCAAGTCCGCCAGGCTAAACTCGTCTCCACCCAAATACTTGGACCGCGACAAACGAGACTCATAGATATCGAGAAGCGGAGCTAGTTTCTCCTGGTGCTGGTCCACTACACCGTGGTCAGTGACCTGACCTATCTTGGGTTTTATGACGAGCTCGTATGATAGCTTGGAGGCTACAACCTCGAATTTTTGCGACTCGACTTCTGTCCAAACGGAGACAACGGCCATCTCGTGGGGGTCGTTGGGTACGAGTGGTTCGCCCTTGTTGGTGTAGGCGCGTGCAATGTACTGAGTAATTGCTCTTGATTCTGAACATTTTGCAAGTTAACCACAACAGGAGAAGAAAATTATTACATTATTCGTTATCTTATATTATTTCAAAAACGCAACGAATCGAAGTGGTAGATTTATACGCTTTAGTAAGCTTATCGAACATAATTAGATATCTCAGAATGCAGCCTAATCGGCTTCATGTGATCGGATACGCTTTGTACAACACCTTTCTCGGACACCCATATAGTACACCAGTATTTTATTAAATCACAAAATAATACCAAGTTAGAACTCGTATTGTATACGATTTGTCGTATTAATCGAACAGTAGTACCAAATTAT